TTCCTGCTGTGGCGTGAAGTGTCTGGACTTTTCCTTCAGTCAGCTGCTCTCAGCAGCTGACTGAAATCCTGGGCAACCCCAGCTAGCACACAGAGATAGTGCCTTACCTTCAGGGCTGGTCAGGAGCAGTTCCCCAGTATAGCTGACTGCTCTTTTATCCTCCACATCTGCCATCCAGGTGTATTCTAGGGCCACATTCCCTGTATTGGACAGCTGGAAACTGCAAAACAGGGCAGAAGGAGAAAAAAAAAAGAAGAAAAGAAAAAAACCCCTATACATGCTTGCTTAGCATGTATAACATGCTAAGCAAGCATGAGAAACAACAGTGTAAGGTGGGCTCCTGGCACTCCGTTCTTTGGGGAAGGACATACTCCTCAGCATAAACAGCTGTACTGTGTCTAGTACAGTAGAGGGGGGCTGCCTGGAGACAAAGTATTTACATGTTTGGCAGCTAAGGAGTGTCCAGACACACTGCCATGGGGCTTATTCCAGCCTTGTACCTCAATTTAACATTGTTTTGACTGCAAACCTCTCCTCAGGCAGATAAAGACAGGCAAGATGCAATGAGGGCAAAACCACTGTTGTTCTCAGGAAAAAAGGCTGGTAGAAATGGACCCTCCTGACACATCTGGGGCGTACTTGGCTTTGTGTGCTTTGTGCACTCCAGCACCCAGACAGGACTCGGAGAGGACAAAACAGTAAATGATTTGTTTAAAGGGAAGAACAGCATGTGAGGCTGGAAGTAAAGACCTAAAAGGGATTCTGGTCCAGATGTGAGGGATCTGCAGGCCTTTGGTCTGTGCCAGGGGATGTGTGGAAGCTGAGACCTCAGACCCAGCAGGCAGCAGCATCCCAGTCCAAGGCTGATTAGCCTGTTGGATATCAGAAGAGGTTTATTAAATGGCCCAGCAATGAGCATGTCAGTGTGAACCTTCTACTGGCACAGAAGCATGGATAGAGGGAAAAGCAGCGGCCACTGGAGAGCGCATTGTGGCTCTGGGGGAGCAGAAACTGCCTGCGTAACAGACTCCTGGGGCAAAGGCAGTTTGCACTTGCTGGTCCTGCCTGGCCTCCGTTACTCACGTGAAGGTCCTTGTTTGGAAGAGCAAGGTCTCCTTGAACTGAATCAAGTCCGTATCCAGCTTGAACTCCGCATAATCAACGACAGCGCTGAGGCGAAGCTCCACCTCGCGGCTGCTCTCCTCCAGGACAGTGTGAGCTGGCTCCGGGTCTGTCTCAATCACCTCCAAACAGAACAAGAAAGAGAGGGAAGAGCCACTGAGCAGAGCCCAGAAAGCCAGACTGAGCAAGGAGTTCTTTGGGTCAGGTATAGGAAGGACTGATCCCCTTTATTTCCCTGGAAGGAAGACAAAATCTGACTGTTCCTTCACAGCATTCATTCCTCCCTCTCAACCAAAGCTATGGGGAAGCATGAACCATGACGATGACTGTGAATACATCCATGGGGAGTGTGACCAGGTGGCAGTCCCTGTGCTTCAATCCTGGAGAGTGTCTGATCTTTTTTCTGCCCCCCGACAGAACCATCAGGCCTCTAAATTGGAATTAAGTCCCCCTGCTGGAGCTCTGTGGATGGAGAAGCCCAAGAATGAATAAACCTAGAAAGCATCTTTTCTTCTTGTTTTAGGAAAAGGTTATTCACTGATGTAACGTGTGGGGCATTATCCACTTTGGGGCGGACAGGCATTTTGGAATGAGAATGAACTCACTAGGAAAGTCACTGACTGCTGGTGCTGTGATGGAGAAACAGCTTACTTTAGAGGTCTTACAGTGGTCTAGAAACTAGGAAAGAGTCATCACCCAAGATGAGAGAGCTTGACCAATAATGACAGTAAAGAGAGTTTCTGGAGACAATACTTCTCTGGACTCCTATACGACTGCCATAATATACCTGGGCATAACGAGATATCTCCTGCTTTCCAGGAACCACATGTGAAATTTCAGATATCGTTGCAGACAGAGCTCACTAGCCAGCATACACAGAAGGGAGCTAGTGTCAGCCTTCACTTCAAAACGAGAGGCAGAGCACAGTGGGTTTAACTCCTTGTTGGTGCAAAAGGCACTGAATCAGATGGAGAGATTTCAACACTAATTAAGTCACCTTAGGAATCATAAAATGTGACTTCCAGTATAACACAGGCTGCAACACTTTCAGCACTGCTTTTGGTTGAGACCAATAGCTTGTGCTTGACTGAAGCATCTCTTGTAGAAAGACGTTTCATCTTGATGGATATCAAGTCATCATGTATCCAACTCTCCCTTAAAATGCACTGCTAGTTAAGCTCACTGATGGATTAAATTTCAGGAGGAAGCAAGACCTGCTTAGCCAGCAGAGAAGGCAGCCTGCTGCCATGGGCAGCTCTTTTCTTGTAACCTACGTTAGCATTTGCTATCTTGCTTCTTACCTTCTTCTTGACAGGCCACACAGTTGGCTGGCTCCTTGTGGCATCTACCCACTTGACAGTGTGCAGGCGGTCGTCCCAGTCAGGAACCTGGTCTGCTGGCAGCTGGAAGGCGATCCTAGCCACCTTACACTTCACAGGGTGCATTTTGAAGGTGACTGCAACATCTGATTTTAAGGTCACTGTGATGTCCTTAGCACAGCCAGCATGGAGGTGTCCCACCTACGGAGGGACCAGAGAGCCAACACCAAATTGGAATCGCTAGCAAGGGCATGACTGGCAGCAGAGGAACTGATATGGTGAGCAGCTTTGCCAAAAATTCTGCATTTTGCTATGTATTTATCTGAGGTAAATTCAGGACCTCTGTCACCTATGTTTATTTACAAGCTGGGAAAAGCTGGTCTTTGCTCCCCAAAATAACCCCTGAACCAACAGGAGGAGGCATCTTTAGGGACTGGACTAAGGAATTCACCTGGGTTCAATGGAGAGATGCACAAACGAATGATACCATCTCCCATAACAAGGAACATTTTCTGTGGGATTGGCAGCCCTGCCCTTGCAAAGCTCTGAGCCCAGCAAAGCCAGAGACTCCTCATGTGTGGCATTGAAATGGGCTCTCATCAGTATGTGGTAACCCCCGGCTAGCTCCAGGGAACCCACCTGGCAGGGTTTGAGCAGTGGGAAAAGGCAGAACTGTCCACACTAACCTGGGGGGAGAAGTGAAATGGGGTGCCTGCCATCCACTCAAACCGCATCGCCTCCATGCTGCTGTGATTGGTGATCGTGAAGGTCACCTGGTAGGGTGTCCCAATATGACAGCCCCCAAACTGGATGTGATCCGCTCTGGCAGCTGTTAAGAACGAGGGCAAGGGATCTCAGTGTGCAGTAATGTCCGTCTGTCCCCCTCATGCACACACACACATGCGTGCCCAAGCCTTCCTCCCTCTGGAAGATGCAATTCCTTATCCTCCCTCTGTCCTTCACAAAGGTATACACTGACATATCCTTAAACCCGGGGCCATCTCTATGCAGAGGGACACACGTTACAGCACACACCGTATCTCTGCACAAAGCAGGCAGACGCACAGGCTGCCAGAGTCAGGTGGGTGACAACATAGCCTGTTATGTATATGACATGCATTTTCATATATGGTCTTCATCTCCATAGGATACCATGGGCTGACAGACTTTCCATGTGCCTTTTAGAGATACTCAGTTGAATGCTGGTAACTGTGACTGTTCTTTCCTAGCCTGCATGCTTTTCCCTTGACACAGGACCTTCTCCCCTATTTTCTCAAGTGTGGCTACTCTGCAGCCTACAAAAGGCAGCAGGATCTATCCACTGAGGCTGGACTACAACTGCACTGGCATAGGACAGACAAACAGGTATTTTCCTCTTCCTTGCTCCATCTTGACAGCTTCTCCTCTCTTACCCTCAACTATGTCTTCCTCCAGATTGTCCTCTGTGTTCTCCTCATCGCTGTCTGCCACTAGTCCATGGATGTTATCCAGCGTGAAGTCATCCTGGTAGCCTTCACCCACCAGCAGAATGTTGGTCTCCTCATAAGGGTTGTCCACTACGGACAGGCGTATCTTCCCTTCCGCATGTTGGGTCAGGTTGGGTTTGAAAAGCACATCAAACTCTGCTGATTCCCCATTGTTCAGGACCAGGGAAATGGTGTGAGGCTTCCTCCCTGCAGAGCAATGGAAGTCAGGGACAAGTGATACAGCCATATATAAGAAATATTCCCATGGGGTATAAGAGGCAAAATATGTTGAAACTGAGCTGTCTCTAAACCCAGGTTCTCCCAGCAATGGCTCTGGACTCTCCTCCTATGTTCACAACACTATGATGACACCATGCGTGTTGCTGCTTAAGTGTCTTAACTTCAGGTTAACCCCACAGTTTTACTCAGGCTGCCTCCCACCAGCTCTTACAAAGTTGAGTCGAACGATGTTTTCAGCTTCCATACGCTGACTGGGGGCTCAAGGGCTGCCTCCATTCAGGGTGGCAACA